CACACACACCGGGGTCGTCACAACATGCGTTTTTGCATTTGCATATTATGCAAAAATGCATAAAAATCAAAGTCATAAATAAAGAAAGTCTCGAAAGCTGCCCTTTGTTCCGATCTCGCCGACAAATAAATAAGCTTATTCACCATGTGGCGGGTCACTGGCTGTTTAAAGTGGGTAGTATCGACTAAGCGTGGGTAGATTTCGTACGGCGTATAAGCATTCCATCCAAGGGTAGGAATCCAGGACACCACCATAATCAGTCGTTTTCGAATTCTAGATTATTAATAAAAAAAAAGAAAAACTGTGGCAGGGGTTCAGCACGACAATTTTTTTTTAGCAAGGTTTTTCCTCCTCGAGACATTTGGCAACCTGAAAGCGAAGGTCTATTAAAAAACTCAGATGGGAGGGCTTCGACCTCACGACACGCACCTACAAGTAGTAGAATGACAAGACTGGCACAGAGCAATTCTCGTTCTGAAGAGGAAAATTTGATTTTTAAAAATTTAATTTTTAAAGTACCTGATCAAAGAGCGCATCAGCACAAAAATGCCCCTTACAGCAACATGTTAACTGTTGCACTAGTGGATACTCGCGAAAAAAGAGATTATTCCGTAGGCACAGCGGTCGACCATTCTTCCTTTGCCTGCAGTGTTGCGATAGTCGGAGAGGATTCTCAACTGCAATCGAGATACTTCATGAAAAGGAGGACTATAGATTAAGGAGGTCGCTCATAACAGAGAGCCTGAGGATGTACAAAATGTTTAGAAATATCGTCAGTTACTGTCCAGATGAATAACGGTTTTTTGCAGAGCAACTACTTAGAAATAAATTTTTCTAATTTTCAGTTTTATAAGCAATGTGGTGGTTCTAGGAAAATATGTAGAAAACAAGAGATAAAAGTTTACCTCTGAAATCCAGCCAGGAAATTTGATTCACCTTGAATTTTCTAGCCCATTCCTGAGGTGCAACAAATTTGCCCGTCTGAAGGAAGTGATTTTGATAATATCAAAGAAACAAATGTTGGTGTGAGCATTTTTATCTCAAAGACAGATAACTCGGCAAACTACTTTTAAAATTGCCAACGGGCATAGTGCAGTGAAAAGCAGAACGGCTCTCCTGCTCGAGTTCAAGGACTTGATCCCGTCATGATTCATCTTTGGCATGCTTGGAAGTGCTTTTTGAAAGAGTGGCCAACAACAGCTTTGCCATTAGGCAGTTGCTACATGCATTTACTATCGTCGGACTATTTCCAGAGTGAGTTTGCCACTTTTGAGAAGCAAATACCCAATCGTGTCGACTGAAGCTTTACTGGTGTCCCAGCTTCCGCAAAAAAAAAATCACCGTGCTTCTGAGGCTTCTTTGTTAATTTGTTCGAAACGCGTAGGAAACACAAGAGATCGACGCAAACCGATGAAAAGTTGGGTGTGGGTGTGAGGTCATGGTCAGGACAGGAGAAATCTGGCCTGCGGTTTTGTCGGGGCCGAAACCAAGATGGCTTGGGCAATAGCTACCGAGACTCGGTGCTGGGCCGAGAGTCACGTGCCCGCACGTGAGTACCAAGCGTACCTGAGCGCCGAATTTGAAATCTTAACCCCGTACGTGAGCTGGAAATATCCCCTTAAAATTTTAACATTTTTTTGGCTCTCGAGATAGCAGCCTTTTCGTCAAAACTTTTACAATTTTCAGCATTTTAGCTCATGCATTTTCTGAACTAAATATTTTTTCTTGAAATCTTTCGTTTTCCGTTTCTCTTTTTTCTCCCCATAACCGCCAAAATTTCACTTTGTTTCTTAAGCGAAAGGATCGGCTCTTATGCAACTTATTCTCAAACCCCAAATTGACTTCTGAATTTTACCCTCAATTGGAAAAGCTACAGACACATGCATGCTGTCTACACATATGCACCTTATCTTGATGTATTTTTATGTAAAAAAACGTGAAATTGAAGCATACATGATCGTCCATACAACCGAGCAGTACGTGTTTGTTTGGCAATGCCACCAGAACGCAGGAACTGGTGTTGTGGTCGCATGGATGGGTACTCAGATCCAACAAATCCTCGCAAGTTAAATTCTCCTTCACCTGCAAAACTGAGCAATTTGGGAAAGCATGTGGTTTTTCTAAAAAAAAGGCCGAAAAAATGAAATATTTGGATTTAATAAAATAATTATTTTCCTACGCAACAGCACAAATGTTTTGTTTTGTAAAAATGTGTTTGGTCTGCATACTGTTTTGTCAATAAAGAAATAAAAAAAAAAACCTTGCTTCGCCAGCCACCGTACTCATGAGCCATAATTTTCATCAGTGGGCAGAGAAAACCCGGAAATGGTTCCCCAAATCGATTGTAACAAGCAATACTTGCCATATCAGTGTGATTACCATTAGGTACAACTTGCTAAAATATGATGAACACAATCCTGGTTATGCACATTTCTGTTAAGCACATTTGACATAAGAAAAATATTTACGTACTACACTAATCCTGAGTGGTCGAAGTCATGTTGATCATGTGCATGGGCGATAAGGGAACTATGCTAACGATTCTTATTCCTTCTTGCACGCTTTACTTTGCCAGTGTTTACAGCTAAGGGATGAAAAATAAACTGTTTTTAGTATGCCCACCGGTGCATTTGCTATTTAGATCGATCCATTATCTCTGATCTTAATATTTTACTGTGATTGTTTCTGGTAGCAGATGAAGCTACGGAACAGTGCTGCATACATCTCACAGAAACATATGCTAAATTGGCCAAACTCACTCGTGCCACAGTCATAGAGTGGACAGATCTATGAGGATGTAGCTTTCTTCTGGAACGCTTCCCCATTAAAGTCACAGAAGCTGGCAAAATAACATCGGCCACTATGCTTTCGACTCGAGGCAACCTTGTGGAGGCAGCGCCAAACGAGCACAGCGTTCTCCGAGCCATATTTTCGCTTCTATTATCGAAGTTTGCATGATTTCATTAGAAATCACTTGATGAATCAGAAATCAGGAACCCTTCGATTGATTTCTTTACAGTGCATGTCACCGTTATTTCTGAATTTTGTCATAAATTGCCTTGATTTTCCCAGTTATTTTCCCAGTCAAACTGGATTTCCCAAGGCAGTGTTTCGTTTCAGGGAAATGACTATTCGCTGCTCAAAAATTTTCATAAAAATTACATAAGTTTTTTAGAAGCAGTCCATCGACAGAGTTTTTTTACCTCAGTAAAGTCTGGTTCGTCGTCAAGATATGTGTTCAGTATTTGCTTGTCGGTTTCGACGGGCAGAATTTTCTGAAGTAAAAGGAAGGAAATTTTCAGACAAATTGCAAAACTATCATAAAATTCAAGTTTAACATGCAAATCCACAATGAAAGCATGTAACAGGAGAAGAGAACAAAGAGGGGAAGGGTTCACTGAAGCATAAAGACAAAAGGCAGAAGTTATTTCTTGTGAAAAGAACAAGCAGGCTTTAGTGAGCGGTAATGCACAAAAGGATGCTTGCTAATATTAGTAAAAATTCAATTAACCGCAGTTTTGTAAATGCCTTCTTTTTCAATCCTTGAAATAAGTGCTTTTTCCAAAATCAGTAATATTTCTTCAGATGCACTCTGCAAAAAGAGGAAATTAACTGAAGCAATACATCCATCAACTCAGTTTTTCACGTTTTTTTTTTGGAATTTTTACACAAAAACCAAAACGAAACAATAATTTCTGCTTGTAAGTTCAGTTTTAGTTTTATTAACCGTCTACTTCTCTCCCTTACTCTCTTCTCTGTCTTCTCTTCTCATTAACTTCTCCACGTTAACTTCCGCTAAATGGCAGAATAAAACTGACACTGATAAAATACGACTATAGCACATATTGATGCTCTGCTTGTGTATACAGCTTAGGGATGAAACGTAGGCAGATTACTTCCGAATTTATTCATACTAGCATTTCCCAAGTTCATTTTGTCTTTTCTAATTCTTTTCCACCTTTTTTGCCTCTTTTTCTTTTTTTTTCCAGTTCACTTCTTCTTTTCTGTTTCTGTTTAAGGCAGGGATAAAATGCTCGCATTGTTTCCGAAAAGCCAAATATTATTAGCAAGCGAGCTTTCATTCTGAAAAGTCAAATATCACTGCAGCGGAGACTGAAAATGGAGCCGAAAATTAATCTGTGGCGGCTCCATTTTCAATTCCTACTGGAGTGATATTTGGCTTTTCTGTGTTTGGTGTGTTCAGCTTACCTCAAAAAAGTATATTCCATCCTCGACCTTTTGCTGACAAAATGGCTTTTTTTTCTTTTCCCATTGTCTGGTGGCTAGTTTTTGAAAATCTCACACCTCTGTACTAAGTAACAGTACCTTCAGGCTTTACGACGATAGCACGACTGTGCAGTGCGGAAGTTCCCACGAATTTTTGGATTTTTTTACGTTAGTGCAGAGGAGCAAATGGCAGTTACACCCACCGTCTAGTCGCGTCACGAAACTCTCAGAAAAAGGAACTATTAATAGCCTTTTTAGCAGGTGTTTACCGTCGGCACATTGCTTACCGCTCGGGCTACTTTTTGATTAACTTTACCTCTAACAGAAAGTGAAATATAGGGAGATTTAGTACTCACAGATTCAATTTTCTCACCACTCCTCACATCAGTTTCAAAGTTAAAACCCTCTCCGTAATCGCTCCTCCTTAGAGAAGCAGAAGCACTCGGAAAGTAGCCGGAATGGTAGCAAATGCTGGCAGCAACCAACCGCTTACAGCTTAATTAATGTTTTTCTAAATTTTATACCTGTCCAGTTAATTATTTTTCATTCTCGCCTGGATCTCAGCTTTGAAAGTAGATGCAGGATTCGGTCCCAGCTTAATTAAATTGTATTTTCCTGCACAATTTGGTCTTAGATGCTGCGTAAACCAAAGTCTATCCCGTACACGCCATTGATTACACGTTTTCCGAACATTTCCAGAACTAAGCTACTTTTTTTTTACCATAAATAATCGATAGATTACGGAGAATTATTTATTAAATTTAAATGGACCGAAACATCACTCATCCACTCTCTCCCGTGGTAAATTGGTACTGGTGTATGCCAGAGAGTCAAACCCGCCATCAACTTGCTGTAAACAACTTCCGAAAGAGGGAGCCACACGGACAGACTTGCCAGTGGGTGTTTACTGTCGGTATTTGCAAGCACGGGCTACATTCCGAGTGCCTTCGCCTCTCACAAAAGCGAGTAGGAGGGGGTTTTTTCACTTTTCATTATCATGACTGAAATAAGTATGTTAGTTGGCTTGCTGTCTGTGGATTTTGCGAGGATTGACCCAAATTTTCAGTACGGTAACTCGGTGCCCGGATTTTGCATAATAATGAAATTAGGCCTTTTGTTCGTGATTCCTGTTTGGACGATGTCTGGCCTGCTTTTAAGGGCAGCAACACGTCCTGTTTGTTGGATTTTATTTTTTTGCATGGTCATAATGAAATCCTGCATATTTTCCATTTGGCTGAGAGTCTGATTGCTTTTTATGCGTTTTTGCATATATGCAAATGCGAAAACGCATATTGCAATGACCCCGGTGTGTGTATGTGTTTGTGTCTGTTCAGGTATTTCAACTCGGCACTCAAGCAAGCTCCGGCGCCAAAATTTCGCGAGTGGGTTCCTCGACCAAGTGCCACCCCAGGACCACGGAACCAATTCTCAAGCACGTCTAGGCCCCGCACTCGAGTGCCTCAGAGTTTTGGCGGGAAAATCGCTAACGTGGGGACCAGAAAAGCTTGAAAGCTGAAATTTTGGGATTATGTTCCCCGTCCATATAGAACTCAAAGATTTTAAATTCTGCCCCCAGGTGTGCGCGTTTCCCGCGTACTACCCCGTGAGCGTTCCTAGCGGGAAAATCGCTAGCTCGAGATCCAAGAAAGCTGGGGGGCTGAAAATTCCAGCAAATGTTCCCAACTCATCTGCAACTTAAATTTATCAAATTCAGTCCCCCGTTATGCGTGGTTGCTACGTACGGCCCCGTGGAATTTTCTGGCTGGAATTTGGGTTACTCGGGAACTGAGAAAGCTGGGAATCTGGGATTTCAAGGGA